TGAACTCCATTCACCACAACTCTCTGGGCCCGGCCGTCCAGCCAGTGTTTTACCCAGCGCAGAGTCCACCTGTCTAAGCCGTGAGCCGCCAGCTTCTCGAGGAGAACGCTGTGGGAGACGCTGTCCAAGATACCTGCTCCAGCGTGGCCTTACCCGCAGCCGCAGTCCCTTCGGGAGTGAACCTGCTCCAGCGTGGCCTTCCCCACGGCTGCAGTCCCTCCAGGGGCGGACCTGCTCCGTCGGGGGTTTATCCACGGCCCCACGCTGTAAGATGCTCCAGCATGCCCTCATGCACGGCCCCTGACGCTTCGAGGTGCGCCTTCTCCAGCGTGGACTTACCCTTGGGCCACAATCCCTTCAGAGGCGTACCTGCTGCGGCACAGCCATAACCACGGCCACAGACGCTTCGAGAACCTACCTGCTCTGGCGTGGACTTACCCACGGCCACAGACGCTTCGGGGTGTCCTGCACCCACGTGGATTCATCCACGGGTCGCGGTCCCTACGACTCGAGTTCACGCCGGAGTTCCAGCCCGTCCGGTGCAGCAGCACAGAGACAGCGGCGATGCCCCGGCCGTCTGCCAGCCCAGGCGCGTGGCCATTGCTGGTATCGAAACGTTCCCGGGCTCAGCAGAGCGAGATGATCGGCAGGACAGCGGGCAGCGAACGCAAAAGGCAGCCACGAACGAGCACGGGACGCTGATACCCAGCGGGGCGAGCAAGCCCCACGGCAAGCGCGGGAGCCTGCTGATTAATAGCTGAACAGCAACAACAGCTGTAAATTCCATCTAGCACATGCCGATCAAACCCGTCGTTATCTCGAACCCTTCGAGCCCCGCGTTGGGTTTATGTAGGGGTGGAGAATGTGCTGGGTTTGGCCGGGGTAGGGTTAATTTCCTTCCCAGCAGCTGGCACGGGGCTACGGTTTGGATTTGTGCTGGAAAGAGCGTTGATAACACAGGGGTGTTTTCGTCACTGCTGAGCAGGGCTGACACTAAGTCAAGGCCTTTTCTGCCTCTCACCCCACCCCACCCGCGAGCAGG